TGCATCACCATCATCAGCAGCTGCAGCAGCATCAGCATCCGCATCAGCACCATCATACACATCATCAACAGCATCAATCATCATGACCAGCATCGTCATCAACATCACAATCACCAGTATCATCATCAGCATCCGTATCAGCAACATCATCATCACCACCACCATCATCATGATCATGATTATCATCCTTTCATCGTCATCATCGTCATCATCAACACCATCATCACAACCACCATGATCATCATCATAATCGTCACCAGCATCATCGGTAACATAACCAGCATTCTCAGCACCACTACCATCATCATCATCATCATCATCATCATCATCATCATCATCACCATAATCATCAGTTATATGATCATCAGCATCAGCATCCGCATCATAATCATCAATACCATCATCATCAGCAGTATCATAAGCATCACCATCAACACCACCACCATCATCATCATCATCAACATCCTAATCACCATCATCATCACCATCATCATAATCACCATTAGCATTTCCATCATCATCCTCATCATCATCATCATCATCATCATCTTCATATCAACATCATGATCATCATCATCCTCATAATCAACATCACCATCGTCAACGTTATAATCACAATCAACAGCACCGGCATCATCAGTAGCATCAGCATACTCATCATCATGACCACCATCACCATCAACACCTTCATCATCTCATAATCATTATCACCATCATCGTCAACATCATCTCATCACCATCATCATCACCATCAGCATCGTCATCATCATCAGCATTATCACCATCACCAATATCATCAACAGTGTCGTCAGCATCATCATGATCATGATCAACATGATCATCGTGGCCATCATCATCACCATCATCGTCATCATCGCCGTCATCGCCATCAGCTTCGGCACGTCGCTTGCACGATTCGTGGCCAAATAGGGAGCTGCACCGAAAGCCCCAGTGGCAGTGTCCATATGCGTCCGCGCCAACTATTGCGGCTCACCCCTCACACGCTTCGCGGCCCCATAGGGAGCTCCACCGAAGGCCCCAGCGGCACAGCCCGCATGGCGCACCCGCACCCGATTCGGCACACCCCTGACACGTTTCGAAGCCCCATAGGCGGCCCCACCGAAGGACCGAATGGCACAGTCCGCATGGCGCACCCGCACCCAAGTCGGCACACCCCTCACACGTTTCGTGGCCCCATAGGCGGCCCCACCGAAAGCCCTAGTGGCACAGTCCGCATGGCGCACCCGAATCCGAATCGGCACACCCCTCACACGCTTCGTGGCCCCACAGGGAGCTCCACCGAAAGCCCTAGCGACACAGTCCGCATCATGACGCACCCGCACCCGAGTCGGCACTCCCCTCACACGTTCCGTGACCACATAGGGAGCTCCACCGGCGGCAGGGTCCGCAGCGGCAGGGTCCGCACGGCGTACCCGCACCACGTCCACGTCGTCGTTGTCCTCCACGTCATCGTCGTCGCCGCCGCCGCCGCCGCCGTCGTCGTCGTCGTCGTCGTCGTCGTCGACGTCGACGTCGTCGTCATCCTCCTCTTCCTCCTCTTCGTTGTCGTCCCCGCACTCCTCCTCCTCCTCCTGCTCCACATTCTCTTGTCCTCAGCTGCTCATTCCTCCTCCCGCGCACATTCCGTTTTTTTCCCAGTGCTGCCCCATCTAGCAGGTCCCGCTAGGCCCCAGCAGGGAAGACAGAGGATGATGGAGAACGCCAATGTTTCTCAAGGGAATCAGGGTGGAAAGCAGGGAGAATGTGATCGAAAATTGAAATGTTAGGTCTCCTGTTCCTGAAGCTTCCCAGAGGTCCCTGGAGGTATCCAGAGGGTGCCTGACGGCTCATTTGCCCAGAGAAGGGCTTTTTGTTGTTTTGGATCGTTTGTAATTTTTGGTCGTTCCCCGTCGTCCCTGGAGGTCTCCAAAAAGGTTCCCGGCTCGGGAGCCGGGGAGGGGAGGATTATGTTTGTCTCTGTTCAAGAAGTGGGACATTCTGTCAATTTTGGATGTTGGAGGGCTCGTGTTTCTGAAGCCCCGGGAGTCTCCGAAGCTCCCCGGAGATCTCGATTGTTTCCGTCGTTTGGTCGCTTCCCGTCGTCTCCAAGGGTCCCCAGGGGTCCCAGCAGGCGGCACGGACGGAGCAAGGAAGAGGGAGGACACCTGCCCGTCTCCAACAGAAATCTGTGCTGAAAAAGAGGGGCATGCTGTTGAATTGTGATATTGTCGGGCTGGTCTTTCTCAAGCCCCCAGGAGTTCTCTGGAGGTCCCCAGAGATCTCTGGAGGTTGCCCGAGGGCAATTGTTGTTGGGACCAGGCCGATGTTTGGTGGGTCGTTCGATTGCTTTCGCTGTTAATCCCCTTGCACACCATCCTCCCCTTGCACGTTTCGCGGCCTCATCACCGACGCCCACGGTGGCAGCGCCCGCATGGCGGCCCCGCCTCACTTCGGCACACCGCTCACACGTTTTGTGGCCCCATGAGGGGCTTTCCCTCAGGCCCCAGTGGCAGCGCCCGTATGGCGGCCCCGCCCCATTTCGGCACACCCTTCACACGCATCGTGGCCCCAGAAGGAAATGAACCGAAGGCGATACCCACAACGTTTGCACTCACAACTGCATGTGGTTAGGTCCTTCTCCAGGATAACTTTAGTTTGCCCCCATGTCACCTTGCGAATCCCTTGCGAATCGATGCTGAACAACCCCAATCGGCGCTAGTCGACGCTAGTTCGACTCTAATCGACGCTGAATCGGCACGTTCTTATCGAGTGCTGGACGCTGGCGCACGCTAACGCCCTTTGAAGATGGAACTTCGAGGACGTACAAAGGTCCCATGATTTGCTACCGACCCACCCTCCCATCTCTCAGGACGCTTATAGTGCCCCGCCGCGCTTTTGGGGTGGGGGTGGCGCGGCTCCCTCCGTACAGCTAGATATGAAGCTTGTGTCAGTCGCCAGGCTGGCTCTACTGGCATGTTCTTCTACGGCAGGCCTTCAAGACAATCCAGCATGGAAGAACAACTTAAGACGTACATGCTTTTGCGAAACACGTCCTGCCAGCCGAGCCAGGCAAGCACTTGGCTTTGTGCTCAAGCCTCCGCTGAAAGAGCTGGACAGTGTAACAATTCACGCTGTCGGTTGACAATCGCCTGTTGTTGGTACTCCTTCACTCTCACTCCCACTGCATCTCGGCTAAGGGTTTGCGTTTCGGGCGTGGCAAACTGAGAACTGGCTGGACTGGCCGGGCCTGGTGGCGCCCGTGAGGCGGCCGTTGTAATTCCGGCCACCTAGCGCGCAACCCAGAGCGAAACAACTACCAGTGGCAGGCTAATTCCGGCCACCTAGCGCGCAACCCAGAGCGAAACAACTACCAGTGGCAGGCTTGTGCATTCCAGGAAGCATGGCGCGCAGGTCATGGCAAGACCAACTGCAGGCCGTTGCATCCTCGGCGGCCATGCGCGCGACCCGTGGACAACCAGTAGCAGGCCGCTGTGTTTTCGGCGGCCGAGCGCGCAACCCAATGCGCAACAAGTCGCAGGCCGTCGTATTCTCGGCGGCCGAGCGCGAAACTTAACCATGTCGCAACCAATTACAGGCCGCTCTGCTATCGGCGGCCGAGCGCGCGACTTGTAGCGCCACCGCTAGCAGGCCGTGTTCTTCCAGGCGGTATGGCGTCAAGCCCTGAAATCCTCGGGGGCCGAGCGCGCAACGTATGGCACAGCCGGCCAGTAGCATGCCATTGTATTCTCGGGTCGGGTAAAAGGGGGAGCAGGGCGGAACTGGTCAGGACAGAGGCATGGAGGGCGGGGCGGACCTCGCCAGCGACGACGACCACGACGACCACGACAACCACAACGACCACGACGAGACCGAAGCCGACCAGACCGACAGGGCTCACAAATTAAGGGATTTGATCATCCCTACAGGGCTACGCCAGATCCCGACATACTCTCGCCGCTTGGGCTGGCGGTGAGTCCAAAGCAGCGAGCTGCCTTGTGCCTTGTGGTTCTGGACGGGCCCGTGGGGATACGCAACGCGACAGAAATCAAGGAAGACGTCGAATCCGAAGGTGCTGTCAAACGTTGTGGGCTTGGGCACGTACCTGAGTAATGTCCCTGCTCGGCTTTATATGCCAGCATCGAATCGGAAAGGCGGTTCGGATCGAAACGTGTGCCGATTCGGGCTGCATCGGCTTGGAATGTTTGGAATTAACATCGAAGCGAATCGACTTTGCCACGATGCACAGCAACGCCATGCCAGCATCGGGCAGCATCGGACCGTCGGAGCGTTACAATGGAATCGGACCGAGCCAGCCGAAGTTGATATCGAATCGGCCCGACAAGATCGAAATGGCCCCTGTTGGGGGGATCGTTAGGGTTAGGGGGCCCAACGGTCATTCACTGTCCCTGGGTGCGTGGCTGAACCGGAGTTCCGCGGCGCGGACTCTGCTTGTTTGTTTGTTTGCGTGTTGTCATCGTCCTCGCCCGCGGCCCGCCCGCGACCCACCAGCGACCCACCCCGTGACCCACACACGACCCACCCGCAGCCCGCCCGCGACGCACCCGCGACCCACGCACATTGCTTTGATGAAAATTCAGCGGCTGCGGCGGGCTCACTGTTGTTTGTGACTGTTGTTTGTGAAAGGTCGGTGCCTGCGGCGAGCTTCTCTTGAGCCTCGCAGACTGCCGACGACCCCGCCGCCCGCCCTCTCTTCTCCGCAACTGACTACCTATCAGACCACCCAAACCCAACCCGAAGACCCGAATTTCGGGTTGGGGAGGGCACGGGCTTCATATGTTTTTTCCCAATGCTCCCCGGCCCCACCCCCCCTCACTGGAAATGGAGGGCCAATCGGGACCTTCGGGTTGGGTTGGGGTGGTGTGGTGGGCGGTGAGCAACTGCGGGGGCTATCATACCCTCAGCAACTCCGTGAGCATCCTTAGCGCCAAGCACCAGGCAGCGGCACGAGGGGGGGAGGCTGGCTGGCCGGCCGCGGCCGCCTTGACGTCCGACCCGAGCATCTTCTGGGCCAGCGTCACGAAGCCCTCGGACGCATGTGCCACGGCGTGTGGGGCAGGGCGCGCACGCACGTGGAGAAGAACTGGCCTCAGCCTAACTGATCCCCATCCCTGAGATCGCCAAACCCAAGGCGATGACAATCTCAGGGATGTGCCCGAAGGCACCGAGGACATCCTGGAGATCGGTACCGAGGTACGCTGATGCCAAACATCAATGAGCATGCTCAAACTATAATTGGAATCCGAAGCGCCTGCACACATTGGTGGAATCAAGCGCCGCCTAAGTCAACGTCTGTAGCGCTCAATGGGGCTCGCGCGCAAGATCCCAGGAGTTCACCATCTAACAGACCAACCCACATGTCTGCCATCGGTGACTCCCATGATCTATTATATTATTACCTGCGCTACCCTTCTATGATACTCCATCTCTAGCCTGGTCCATCACTCCTACCACCACGCTACTGTATGTTAGTCGACTCTACTAGACGATAAGCTCCGCTGATGTTCGCCAGCCTTGACCCCAAACAGGGTGTTTCTAGCAAAATGTGTGGTGCCATCTATGTGTTGCAACCTATGTGGAGCAATATATGTGATGCGATGTATTAGGTGCATCAGATGCTATGCAATATAAGGGCAGAACATATGTGTTGCAATCTAGGTCTGACCGTCTAGTTGGTGCAATAGTTGCGATGCAATCTATATGAACATATATATATATATATATACCTGACTGCAGTGGCGCTTCGCGCCATGCACCTTGGTCCTTGAAGTTTGGTATGCAGGCGCGGAATAGCAGGAACGTCAAGCCAACAATTTAGAGATAACTCCTTGTTGCCTTTTCCGGCATCGCCGCTATAATAATGTTTTTCGTTTTCCTTCCTCCATGCTTTTTCTTTTCTCCATATTTTCGCCGTACCCTGCGCATTCTCCCCATCCTCCTCAGCTCTTTTTTGCGGAGGCTCCTCCTTGGAGAGCCTCTAGGGGCCTCACAAAAGTTGTTTCAGGCTTTCTTAAGGCCTTCTAGAGGCCTCCTGGGCGTATTCTGGGGGCCCCGGGGGACTTCCTCGGGCCACCCTGCCTCCAACCGCGGTCTTCCTGAACGACCGGGTCACGATTTGGAATGCTTCGGAGGGTGTCTTCGGGCCATCTTAGGGCGCCATGGGGCTCTCTCTGAGGGCCATCTTGGACCCGTGTTGTGCCGTTTTGGGGCTCTCTTGGACTGCCTGGAAGCCCGTTCGGATGGTTGTGGGGCGATGTTGGAGCATCCCAGGCGGCTTCGGACGCCCAGAAGACCGCCGTCTTGGAGCGTCGGGAAGCCGAAAAGAGGAGAACCCCAAAATTCAGCAAAAACCATCAGAAAATCAAAGATTTGTGCCTCTTGGGGCCTTCTTGGGAGTGCTCTTGGAGGCCTCTTTGGGGCCGTCCTAGAGGCCTTTTGGGCCATCTTGAGGTCACGTCGGTCACTCTTGGAGCGCTATTGTGCTGTCTTGGGGGTCTCTGGGACGTCTCCGATGACCCCCCTGATCGCCCTAGGTGTGCTGGGAAGGCTTGGCAAAACGCACTGCGAGGCCCGGGGGGCCCCTTCGAGGCCCGTCCGGAGGGTCCCAAAGCCCCAAATCCCGGGAGTCCGGTTTTTTTTTTTTGGGGGGGGGGGACGGGTTTTCCCCCCGCCCGGGCTTCTAAAAATATAGGCAGAGGAATTTATATATATATATATATATATATATATATGTGTGTAGTGTGCAACCTATGTGGTACGATATCTGTGGTGCAAAACACGTGAGCAATATTTGCAATACACGCCATGTAGTGCAAAATACGTGGTGCAACCTAAGCCACGCAATACATGACGTGCAATATAGATGGTGCAAAAAATGTGGAGCGAGCTATGTGGTGAAATTCACTTTGACTGTCTTGAAGCTGTCCTCTCCACTGCTCGTGCTAACATCCCAACCTCCCGCCCGCAACTTGGTCGCAGAACTTCTTAAGACCGTGACGGTGGGTACCAAATGGCACTTGGTAACCACAGCGACGCCGACGACGACGACGCCGACGACGACTACGACGACACCGGCGACGTCTCCGACGACTTCGACGACGACGATAACAACGACGACGACGACGACGACGACGACGGCGACACCGACGACGACGACGCCGGCGCCGACGACGACGACGACGATGACGACGCCGACGACGATGACGGCGACGACGACGACGACGCCGACGACGAGGACGACGACGACGCCGACGACGACGACGACAACAACAACGACGACGACGACGCCGACGACGACGAAGACGACGACGACGTCGCCAACGAAGACGACGACGATGAAGGAGGAGGGAGGACGACGACGGCGACAACGACGACAACGACGAGGGAGTAGGGAGGACCTCAACGACGCGAACGACGAAGAAGGGGGGAGGACAGCGACGCCGACGACGACAACGACGAGGGAGGAGGGAAGACGATGACGACGACGGTGACGAAATAGGAAGAACGACGAGACGCCGACGACCGACGACGACGAGGAGGAGGGAGGAGGAAGGACGACCACGGCGACAACGACGACGGAAACAACGACGACGCCAAACAGGACGACGACGACGACGACGACGAGGAAAGACAGAGGACGACGACGGCGACGACGACGACGACGACGAGGGAGGAGGGAGAAAGGTGACGACGACGACGCAAGAGCGCGCGCGCACGCTTTTGTTTTAAATCTGTGTTGCGAACCCCTGTTTTTTTGTGCTTTCTGGATTCTCGAGTTTGAAATCCTTCCGAAACCGAATGTTTCTGAAGGATTTCGGCATGCGCGCTCGACGACGCGCGCGCGTGCACTTCGTCCCGTTTGTTGCAGAGGATTCTCGCGACGGCACGCGCGCAAGGGCGTTCGAACGACTTCGACATGCGCGCGCGCGCGAAGTCAGTTTTGTAGTAATATTTGAAACTGTTGAAAACAACCATGGTTTTCTTAAGATTTCGCAGGAGCGCGCGTGTGTAAGCTTTTAAAAAATGTGTGTTGCGAAGCCCTGTGTGTTTTTGCGTGTTTCTTGTAAACTCGATTTTGATTTTTTTCCGAATCCGCAGGTCCCTGAAGAAAATTTCGGCATGCGCGCGCGACGACGCGCGCGTGTGCACGTCGTTCAATTTGTTGCTAGGGATTGTTGGAAACTTCTGATTTTTGAAAAACGAATGCGCACGCAAAATATGTTTTGCAAGGGATGGCGGGGGGGGCCGATACCGGCTCCCCTAGGACAATGTGAACTCATAGTTAGGATGTACGATGAGGCAGAATCCCATGTGTTTTGCATCGGTTCCCGGGGGATCTTTAACCCCCGGGGGGGGAGGTGGTCGAACCTATTCTCTTTCAAGAAAGGAGAATATATGGGGTGCGATCTAACTGGTGCAACCCATGTGGTGCAATCCATGTGGTGCAATCTATGTGGTGCAATTGACTACCCTGCACCGCACTTGACCACTCCACTGCTCGCGCAAACATCCCACCCACCCACCCGCAACTTGGTTCGTGACGGTGGGTACCAAATGGCACTTGCCAACGACAGCGACGCCGGCGACGACAGCGACAACGACGACGACGACGCCGCCGACAACGACTACGACGACACTGGCGACGTCTCCAACGACTTCGACGACGCCGACAACGACGACGACGACGACGACGACGACACCGACGACGACGACGACGCCGACGCCGACGACGACGACGACGATGACAACGACGACGACGATGACGACGCCGACGACGACGACAACGACGACGCCGACGACGACGACGACGACGTCAACGACGCCGACGACGACGACGACGACGACGACGACGCGGCGACGACGACGACGCCGACAACGACGACGAAGACGACGACGACGCCGACGACGACGACGAAGACGACGACGACGTCGCAAACGAAGACGACGACGAGGGAGGAGGGAGGACGACGACGGCGACAACGGCGACAACGACGACAACGACGAGGGAGGAGGGAGGACGGCGACGACGCGAACGACGAAGAAGGAGGAAGGACGGCGACGCCGACGACGGCAACGACGAGGGAGGAGGGAAGACGACGACGACGACAACGACGACGACGACGACGACGACGACGGCGACGAAATAGGAGGGACGACGACGAGACGCCGACGACGGACGACGACGACGACGGGGGAGGAGGAGGAAGGACGACCACGGCGACAACGACGACGGAAACGACCACGACGCCCAAGAGGACGACGACGACGAACACGAGGAAAGACAGAGGAAGACGTAGGCGACGACGACGACGACAACGACGCGGGAGGAGGGAGGACGGTGACGACGACGACGACGACGACGCAAGAGCGCGCGCGCACGCTTTTGTTGAAAATCCGTGCTGCGAAACCTTGGGTTTTTGTAGGTTTTTTGGACGCGCGATTTCGAAATCCTTCCGAAACCGATGGGTTTTGAAGTTCGGCGTACGCGCGCGACCACGCGCGCGTCTGCACTTCGTCCCATTTTTTGCAGAGCATTCTCGCGACGGCACACGCGCAAGGGCGTTCGACTGATTTCGACATGCGCGCGCGCGAAGCCCGTTTGGTAGCATTTTGGGAAAATCTTGAAAAACCTATGGTTTTCTTGAGATTTCGCAAGAGCTCGCGCGGAAGTTTTTTTAGCAAATCAGTGTTGCGAAACCATGTGTTTTTGTATGTGTTTTTGAAACTCGATTGCGAAATCCTTCTGGCGCCGAATGTTTTCGAAGGATTTCGGCATGCGCGCGCGACGACGCGCGCGTGCACTTCGTCTCATTTTTTGCAAGGGATTCGTGAAAAAGTGTTATATTAGAACAGAAAATGTCACCGCATAGTGTTTTTTACAAGGGACCCTCAGGGGGGGGAAACCGGCCTGTCTGGGATGGTACGATTTCATATTTAGGATGGACGAGTGCAGAATATATATATATATATATGAAATTATACTATCCCAGGGGGAGCTGATAAGTCCGGGGGGGGGTAGAGTCTATTC